CGAGCCCAAGATGACCTCCAAGACCCTGAAACTGGTCAGCCCGCTGGTCTGGTCCTGGGAATCCCTCGCCTTCTCGCCCATCTCGCCCTACATACGCAAGTTCAACGGGGTCGTGCGTCGCATCATCGATTCCGGCGTCATGCGCTTCATGTACTTCCGCTCGAGGAGCAACTACCTGCTCAAGATCAAGGAGAAGTTCCAGAGGGTCGCGCCGGAGCAGAGCAAGAGCGAGATCTATCTGCTGGAGCGTAGGCTGTCGCGAGGAATCAAGCTGGTGATGCAGATCTACGTCGCGGGTTTGGGCGTCGGTGTGCTGGTTTTTCTGCTCGAAATGATGGGCAATTTTGCTCGCGTGCACGGATTCTACAAGAGGATACCGCGAAATTTGCGCGTTTGAGTCGAAATTTTGCATTTTTTTTCTGTTTTTTTTTTTTTTTTTTTTGAATAGATATCGTGAAAGTTCGACCGATCGAAAGCTACGTTAAATTTTAAACATATCGCATGCATTTTATAAAACCACGCGTCGTTTCACGGTCGAGCAGTTTTTCGATAGCTGCAGATCTCGTTACATATAGTTTATGTATGTATTAACGATCCTCGCGGTATAAATAATTCTTCTAATTAGCGGCTAATATCGCCTATAAGTCGTATACGGACTTGGCGTTCGAACACGCGAAACCACTCCTCTGCGTATACAGGTACACGCTTAATTTGCAAAAAATGCATTTTGCATGCATTCCGCGAGATAATGTAACAAAACTGTACGCCGTGATAATTGAGATCGATGCACGCATACGCGCACACAAACACGATTTTACCGCACGGCGCGCTAATCATCATCGTCGTTCGCTCGGCAAGATATATTACGATACGTAAATATACATAGGTATATATAATAATATCTCAATCGAAAAATTATCCCGATCCGGCGAGCGCGCGATGAATTATTTATTATTATATTGCCGTGTAATCGTCATAATACAACAGCAGAAGAAACTTTCGCTCACGTGTATAGCTCGAGATATATTATTACACACTCGTAACGCCAATCGCTAAAACTCCCTTTTGTATCCATAAGGATTATGCATCGTAGTCAACGTTCATTATCCTTCGATTATAAAATACTTTTATCGGTCGAAAAAAATAAGCAAAGACGAAGGGAAAAAATAGCGCGTCTTGCGGGTCGTAATTTTCCGGGGCTTAAAAATATATAAAAGAAAGGAAAAGTTTAGAAAGCGTCGCGCGTACGTATGCATACAGAGCCGCCAATTTGCGTATTATAATATGCATGCGCGATTTATGCGCGTATAACAACATATATGCGCGCGCGCGCGCACATACGTCTACGTTTATTTGAATAAGATTGCGCGGCCGAGTTCGTTCACCGCCGCCTCGTCGCGCATCTCTTCTCGACGGTCGTCGAGAGAGAGAGAGAACGAGACACGCGTCTTTAAGCAAAGATAATGCATAATAATGACCCATTGAAAAGTATAATGATGCCGCTCGCTCGCGCGGGAGCTTAAAATAGCCGAAATTAAAGTACGCGCCTGCTTCGAAAATTTCACCAGCTCGCGAGAGACCGTATTCTACATCGACTTTGAAACCCGAGTACTGCTTCTTTTTTTTCGTTCAGTCACTATTGATTCGCGACGTGGGGCTAACGATGGTAGTTTGTGAGCTTAATTAAAAGGCGCACGCACCGTCGTGTTTACAACGTTTTACCACATAATATATATACAATATGACAATCTCCTCGGGCTCGCGGGTGTATTTACCCGCAAGTACTACTACACATACTATAAAGGTGTTCGCAGCAATTATATTTCGACTCGCCGTATGAATTTTAATTGACCGATAAATTAAGCAATTCGCTTCGCTGAAACTATGCGCAAGCGGAGCTTTTTTCTTCTTTTTAATATTCGTCTAATTAAATAATGACCGCTTCCGTAATATTAACTCTGCGTATATATCAGTCAAATTGCCGCACACACATATGTATTTTGCCAATGTATATTTGCACGGAAAAATGATCCATAATAAAATGTTCGCAGCGACTCCGTTCGGAATAACTGCAAGGAAAATGTATAACGATTTTTTAATATACTTTTACTTTTCCCGTGTGTACGATTGGCTGGTTGAAAAATGCACTTATTTTTTTTTCTTTTCTCAAACGTTAAGCACACACACGGACACTTTCGAGCCGTGCCACCGAAGTATTTATTAGCGCGCTACACGAGTGTGGACTAAAACAAATTATTGGGGAAGCTCGAGCAACAACAACAACAAAAAATGAAAAAAGGCATGCAAGGAAAAAATATGAGTCGTATCTTTCGACTTTCGCAGTAGTGTGTACGTCGAGAGATAAATAAGAAAAAAAAAGTAATAATAACTCGAGAAACATATATATATGTATGTGTGCAGTACGTGCAAACTTTCTCGCGCGGTGGCGGCTCGCGAGAGAGCAAATTCTTTGACTCCTTGAGCGCTGAGCAGCGCCAAAGTGAAATTATTTTTCACGCGCGCGTTCGTTGCACCCGCCCTCGCGCACACTTTATATTATTATAAAAATGCAGCTCGCTCTGCATACAGAGAGATAGAGAGAGAGAGAGAAGGCGATCGATCAATTTCACCAGCGCGGCTCGAGGAAAAATTTACATTCAATTTTCGCGTCTGCGGCGCGGCGAGCTCGAGTCATTACTTTTTATACCTCGCGACCATCGAGGATTATAGTGCAGACTCGCGAGTGCAAAGCCAAATCATATTTCGCGGCTCGCTGCGTCTTAAAATCGTTAAGCTTCGAACTTTACGAGCTCTCGATCGCCGACTAAAAATAAATAAAATGAAATTTATCGTACTCACCGCAACACGACTTGCCGAAATCCAGTCGCACCAGCTGCACCATGTACGGCTCCAGCAGATTGACGTACCACCAGGGCTTCTCCTCGGGCAGGGTCAGGGTGCAGGTCTGCGGATTGTAGGCCTGGGCGCTGCTCGCGTCCACGGCCAGCTGCGGTATACCGCTGTCGGCCTTGGACGACTGCATCGGCGCTTTTCCAGCCGCGACGTTCAGAACTGGAAGAAAAAATATGAAAAAAAAACCACATGAGTCATGGCATTGAATTCGTTAATTTTGCAGTGGCAGCCGCTGCTGCTACGACTGCGTATAACGGCTTATGTGTACACGTATAAATGTCCGCGAGTAGTGCCATTGCGTCGAATCAACGCAAGGAATGCCCCATTGTGCACCTGTTGCAGCGCTTTAACGGTGTATTACTACTACTCTCGTTTTTCGGGGCCACCACTTGGCAAAGGAATCATTAGGCATTAGCTCAGCGCGTTGCCGTGTAATCTTATCTTACGCGGCTCTCGCGCTGGAATTTACGCAAATGAGCCGCATTAAAAAACGCACGAGCCAACAAAACTATCCAACGGAAATCGCATAAATATATTTGAGCGATGCAGCGGGGCAGCAGCGTTGGCAGCAGGAACAGGAAAAAAAAACAAGAAACAAGAACAGATTTTTTTTTCTCGTAGGCAACAAAAAAAAAAAAAAAAGAAAAGAGAGTCTCGTCATTATTGTACGCATGGGCAAGGCAAAAACGAGGTTAAGAAAAAGAGACGCGCTGCGCTGCGCGACGTTAATGTCCGAGCTGCGACGAGCATAAAGCTGCGCGAGGAGAAGAGGAAGAAGAAAACGAGGACTCGATGTTGGACGTCGCACCGGCCACGAGGCAATTATTTATTATACATATTATATACACAGCTGCTCATTGCTCGTTGCACTGCGTTGCAAATTTTTACTCCCCACCCCTCCTCTTCCTTCTTAGATTTTGTTTGTCTTCTTCTCTTCGCTCTTTCGGACACGGCACGTGCGCGTATACCATATATAGCTGCTGCTGCAATTTGAATTATGACTTATTACAATGGGGCGCTCCGTAGTTCAATGCACCTTGTCTCTCGGCTCGGTATACGAGAAGCCTCATTGAATATACGACCCACTGCGTGTGATTGATTTTCTGCGTAGGATTGTCCGTACCTCAGTGTGTGTGTGTGTGTGTGTGTCACACCGTAGGTAACTGTATTCTCGAGCTTTAATTATTATCTCGAAAAATATTATACGCGTGGAGAACGATGTTGAAAAAAAAAAATAAATAAATAAAAATTTTTTTAACGGCTGCTGTATACATGATCGCTTATAATATTTATAGCTCGTCATAACTGTGTCAATAGCCGACGAGACTGTATACGCGCGCATATCTGTATATATATATATATATATGTGTACGATATATAATATAGAGTTTGATTCATTACTTCCGGCAAGCTCAGCAGTGGAGAGCGGGAGATGCACCTGTCGAAGTATACCTACATACGTATAACTTGTAGCGCATCGTGTAATTATATTACCGCGAAACTCGAGATTTTTAATTTTTTCGACTTTACGCGTTGTGTATTTTTAACAGTTCGCGTTAAACGTCGCGGACGTTGTCTCGAGAGGGTTTAATGACATTTTTCGTGGGACTATACGTGTCGTATAAAGAAGAAACGCATCGAGTTGCGAGCGAGCCACGGCGGTCGCGCGATTTCACGCTCTGAAAGTCCGCTAAAGACTTTTCCACGGTTCCGCATATAATACGCAGCGTGTCGTATACTGCAAAGCAACTTGCGTACACGTAACAGAAGACTCGGCACATTTTTAGTTGCAGTTTTGAACGCCTTCGAGACTGAATATTACCAGAATTCTTATACGAACAAAAGATATCGGGAATTCGCAAGTTTTAGGTCAAGGAGGAACGATAAATTAACGGAGTGCATTTGGAGTAGCTAATTATTCTTATAGCTTTTGTATACTAATGATTAAAATCTATTGTTAAAAAAAATCATTATCATTTGAAATAAAGCCGAGAATAATTTCAGACACCTATCAGATTCTATGAATTTTACATAGAGAAGGTGCGTACCCGTTACTGTGCCTATTGCTATTCTAAGCTCGCATTGAATTGGATAGAGCGTAAAATTAAACAGAAACATTTTTTATTAAAAAAATTCGTACCTTGTTTTTAAGAACAGTCAAATAAAAAAACAGTAATGTTAAGAGATCAGAGCTGTGAAAGAGATACATTTTTCAATGGGCCTTCGTACCATTTGAACAGAAAAGGTTTGATACTATGCGGTGGCTGGCCTTACCTCAATCCAAGAAAAAGAAAAATTATATGGTGGACCATTAATTTGGCCATATTTACGGCGTGGGTGCCAGAGGTATGAATCGGTTTATTTGCGATTGAGTCGTTAAATATAAGCGTCAAATTTTTATTCCGCCAGTTAATTTACATCATTGAAATATTCGACGACGCGCAAAAAGTGATCTACTGCACGATGGCGTTTCTGATCTCGTACTTGGCTTTCTGCGCATCGGTCAATGCCGTCGTAAACCACAACTCGGTGAGCGTAGGAACATATTATTAGCTACTATCAATGAGTGACACAGCCATTTTCAGATGAAACAAGTACTCGACTCTTTGAAAGACAATTGGAACGATCTACAGAACGACGAAGAGAGAGAGATTTTCGAGAAATACGCGAATTTCGGCAAGATCTTCAGTATCGGCCTGTCAGGTACAAATTCATCCCATTTTTACCTTGCCATCATTGAATTGCATAATTTTTCAGTTTGCTATTTTGGCAATTTATCGCTGTACTTTGTGTCACCGCTGATACCGTCGATGCTGCATTACCGCGCCACGGGCAACTGGACCACGCCCGAGAAAAACTTCCTCGAGGTCGAGTACTTCGTCGATCCGGTCAAATATTACTGGCACATTTATGTTCACGGGGCCCAAGCCGGCAGCTGGGTCGTTTGCGTGCTGACAGCCTACGACTCGTTCTTCATCGTACTGGTGCAGCACTGCTGCGGCATGTTCGCCGTTTTGGGGTATGATAAATTGAATTTGAAAAATTTGCAATTGAAGACGAGGTAAGAGGACTTTGCAGGTATAAAATTGGAAAGATGGACAAAGAAATTCATGATTATCGTCACGATCAGCATTCGGTTGTGGAAAAAATTGAGAAAATTGTGATGTATCATCTTCATTGTCTCAAGTAAGTCTAGTTTGAATATTTATCCTAAGAAGATGTCGATTAATTATGTATAAACAATAATCAAGAGGTGCTGTAGCATCTAACCAGCAAAGTATTCAAAAAATTATACATAAATAATTAAAAAAAATAATTTTTTTACTAAAAAATTATAGTTGAAAAAACAATTTAAAACAATCAGATTCGCGAAAAAAATTGAGGATGCCTTCTGCATGCAGATGATACAACAGATAATGATTAATACAATTATCATAAGCGTATGCGGATCACAGGCAATAAAACTCGCGGACGAGTCTAAGCAGGAATCATTCAGATTCGCTTATCTGGCTTGTTCGACAATTTTTCGTCTGACTATTTTTAATATTTTGGGACAAAGCGTGTACGATCAGAGCCTTCGGGTATACGACCATTTGTGAGTTTTTTTCACCCTCTTGGAAAATTTATATTCACCACTAATTCGAGGAAAATGTATGATTTTTATCAGAATATACACCAGTTGGTACGAGTATCCGACGGAGACGAGGAAATTATTCATAATCCTTTACAACAGAAGCGCCGAGCCTTGCAATCTCACGGGTGCCAAGATAATTTGCCTGAATCTTATTACTTATTCGAAGGTATTAGTATCAGTTCGATCGAATTGTTTGCAAATTAATCGATATAATAAATACTTCCAGCTAATGAAAACGGCGATGTCTTATTTCATGATGATTATCCAAACGTTATGAGATGTCTATTTCTTATGATAAAAGCTCAGGCAATTATTATTCGACATTGAGTAAGTATTCTCAAATTGGAAGCCAATTGCTCGACTTATAATTTTTATGTTATTTTTTTGCTCTTTTTTTAAGCTTTCTTACCCATTTTTTGAAGACAACAATTGTTTACATGTTCGTCATCAACTACTATTGTCATCATTTTATTTCTGATGAAGTATTTCATGTATTCATATTGAAACAGTAAACACATGATAGCATCGCCAACAGTTTATTTTCTGAGAAGTATCTCGTGTATCCACAGTAAATATATGGACACTTTCATCAAACAAATACTCGTGATTGATTTTGAAAAGTTCCTACGAGTGTTTTTTTCAGTGCACGTATAGGTAACATACTCTTGGCTCCGTCGATCGGGCGCACATGTGTGTCTCTCTCTCCCATCTCTCAAGCACAAATTGCTCGCGCGCGCGCTCCGGAATTATTAGACTAAATCGGCATGGCAACCTCGATAAAATATAAGCGTCGGTCGAAAAATAAGGTTGAAATAGAAAAGCGCAGCGCAGCAGCAGCAGCGAGAGAGAGAAAAGACAATGACCGAGTGCGCTGCGCGGCACAGATATATAAGTAACATTTTCGGCTCCAACCTAAATACTCGAAATATTCATGCGGCAAACGTCGCGCGCGCTGTACGACAATATGCATATGCATGGCATAGGTGTAAGGCTGTTTTAATACTGTACGCATTGAATATCAATGGGCCGCAGTCGTGGACTATGTGTCAGGTGCACGCGCGCAAGCCCATAAATAAGATTACGTTATGGAATCTACGATTTATTATATACATGTGCGCGGAGAGGTACTTTTAGTCGACGGCATCAACGCGTCAACTTGCTGCTGCTGCTGCGATCAGCTGCAGGTAGTAGTGCTGCACATATATGTATATACACATATATGCGACGAGTGCGCGAGTACTTACTGCCATGCGTGTACTGTATGTGCACTGCGCACTTGCGGTTGTTCGGCCGGTACCGTAACGTTAAAATGTTATTGGCGCGACCTCGAGCCGCAGCAGCACATGCAGCACTGCTGCTGCTGCTGTGGCAAAAGAGAGAGAGAGAGTAACAAGGTAAGTTTTGTATATGTATATGTACGTCTGGCGGCCTGAGGAGAGATTTCAAAGGATAATGTCAATCGATCCTCTTGCGACATTCGATGCATGCCAGTGTATATCTCTTGTTTTTTTATATACCTTTTAAAAAATATACGTTTATGCCATTTATGCAGACGCGCGTGCAACTCTCGTTCTTTAATCCTTCGCACGAAGCAACGAACGAACGCAGCTCCGAAAGATTGTTTCGGATTTCAAGGCGCGCTAATGATACGCCCGAAAAAGAAATATATGTATCGCCCGCGCGTCAGTCAAAATGCGTATATATGAAAGATGAGCCGGCCGGGCCCGCGAGCGATGGCAGCGCAAACATACATTATGACGCGCCGCCGCAGCAGCAGCCCAACCTGCTGCTAACGGCATTTACGCACGCGTATACGTATATATACATACAAAGTATCGAGTGTGCATATGTACGAACGAATTTTGATTAATCGCCTTGAAAAAAAAAGAGAGAGACGGAGGATGGAAAATTGCTCTTCTCTCTGGCCGAGTGCAGTTTTTAATTTTCAAATTTCACGTGCTTCGCTGCGTTCGTAGCCAGCGGTCGCCGATCATCGCATCGAGATATTCGGCAATTACATAATCCGCCAGACGCGATTTTATAAACGCAGCAGGTATACCGATGCACACGTTATTATTATATATTATATATCGTACGATTTATCAAGTTGAAAGATTGTGTTCGGTGCACGCCAAGCAGCGCAGAGCTGACGATGATGAACAACGCAGCAGCAGCATCAGCTCGAGAGAGCGTGATTAAGTCGTTCCGCGCGGCCGACAATTTTGTGTGTGTGTGTGGATATTACTTTTTTTCCATACGCCGCGCATACCCTCGTGTAGTGCACTGCGCTGATGATAATGTCTTGAATAATATTTAATATTATATTATTATTATTGTTGTTGTGATTATTACCCTTTACTATTTCTAAGCGCCTACTATGCACGCGAGGGCTTAATTAATTGAAAAAAGGAGAAAGAAAAAAGTATTAACTAAGGTTGGACTACCGCACCGCCTGCACATAGCTACGCAGCGCACGAATAAATGAATGAATATACAATAAAATTACGTGGTATGATTTATAATACTCGTGAGCGCGAGTCAAAATCAAGTGCACAGACGCCGAACGAGCCGCCAGCGAACGCAGTCATTAGCGAGATCGTTGCTTCACGCGCCGCGCCAAAAGAGAGCGTTATGTGCGCGCGTTGCACTGAAAGGGCTTTTTGAAATAATCGTCAAATATCTGCGATTCTTATCCCACATGCGCGCGTGAGCTGCGACACACACGCAGCAGCAGCAAAATGTTGACGACGACGACGTGTTGCAATTATTGCGTAAGATCTAGAGCTCGAAACTCTCTGCGCAGAGCCAAAGAAAGAGAGAGAAAGACTCCGAAGAGACGATTAATAGTACAAACTCGCGCGCCAGATATGCTCTTTTTATTTTATAACTAATGACGCTCTCGTGTGACGCGACCGAATGAGGCGACGAATTTCGTATGTGTATATTTTATTGTATATCCTAAGCGCCTTTTGAAAGCGACTACTCATCGTTCTTTTCACTGCTCCTCGCGAAATGACGTATTCTACTGTCCATGCGAACGCTTGAGAGATGCGATGTTGTATATTTTTATTTAAATTTTTTTTTTTTTCAATTCTTTTATATCCTAACTTTTGACGAAGGTTAGGCACGTGTGCGCATAATTCGACCACGGCCTTGTCGTTATACTTTTCCATCCTCTGTATACACAGGAATATTTCGATCCGAGAATAAGCGACGGCACGGCATAATTATTCGCTCATCGATTATTATTGTTCTCCGTATCTGCAAAAAATTAACCCACACGCTCGTAAGAATGAAAAAAAGAAAATAAGAGACGGGGGCTCAAGGTTTCGAAAGTTAATTAAAAATTTTCATTTCTTTCTGTTTTTTTTTTATTTTTTCTCAATTCGTATCGAATCGCGCTCGATGCCGCTGCTGCATCTCCCACGAATCTATCCATTCAGCGGATAGTATTATAAGCTATTACAACCGCGAGAAAACCATTTAAATGAGAGGATCGATGTTTGAAGAAAAAAAAATCGAGAAAAACACAATAACAACAACAGCAACAGAAGCAGGCAGAAGCATTAACAACAGTAGCAGCGGTGGTGGCGCGCGGTAACAGGGAAGGATGCAGGAAACTTCTCGTTGGTTAGAAAGTTACCGGACTGGATCTCTTACACGGGCATGCGGAGCGACACACACACACACATTTACAATAGTAATAGCCACGAGCGCAGTAGTAGTAATGGTCTCTGTGGCATCTCAGAGAAAGCTTGCAACTCGCACTAAATGTAAAAAAAAAGATTTAAGAAGGTAATGTATAAGGAAAATTTCCTCATAAAGGTGGATCCCTTTAAAAATCGAAAGTTTAAGTACATTTTCGATCGGACACTGGCGATAAGACGCCGATGATCTAATGGCCCCCCCTATACGTACGCGTGAGAAGAGATCTTACCTATTATCGAGAATGCAGCAGTAGAAGAATTTAGGAAATGGAGAAAATCGATTACGCGCGTATAAGCTCGGTGCGGTGGGTCAGACACGCACTGCAGCGCGCACATTTTATAACGAACTAAGCTAACCGGAAAAAGACTGCACTACTGCTGCACGCGTAATTACGATATATATTTACAATGTAGCATGTGTGTGTGTGTGCATAGGCTATTTACCAAAACAACTTTTGTGCATTACATACATATCTTAAGAGGAGGAATTGGTCTTTTAAGGTTTTTCTTTCGACGCGCGCGCGGCCGGATCGTGTCTTAAAACTTTACGCAACTCTTATACACACACCCACACACACACACACACACACACACACACACACGTGGACGATAGTATACATAGAAAGACTACGTGCACACATATATATACAAATAAAATAGCTTATACGGGCTCCGATGCATACAAGTATAAATGGACATGTGCGCGCGCGCTCGCGGAGGTATAAAATGAGCATATTCCGAGGAATTCATTGTGTAAACTGTTGCGCTCACATTCTCCGCTGAATACACCTATACCTATATGTGTGTGTATATGTGTATGTGGTGTACTGCACTTGAGCACGCACTGCAGCAGTGGCGGCGGCGGCGGCCATTGACTTTGATTTATACTCGTTCGTAATGGTACGCGCAAGCTCGAGCGCGAGTAAGCGACGCGTGCCTATATATATATACCTACGAATGTTCGCATATACGTATGGATGGTTAAAAAAAAAGGTTCGAAGGAAAATTCGCGATTTTATATACATACCGGGCTCTCGCGCGAGATACATAAAAGAGAAAATTTGATATATTTTCATATATATGCATTCCACTCGAAGAGACGTACGGGATGATATGCGCATATTATATACGATTTTACCTCAAGTGACGTATTGATTTATAGCGCGGCTCTCGTCGATACGCGCGCAAATATAAATATAATAAAAAAAAATGAACAATTGCTTAGTAAAACAACGTATATATACACACATTGAATTACTTCCCATGCGCCGTACAAGCAATCGCGAAGTAGTATACGAAGAGAGAGAGAGAGAGAGAGATGTGTAAACACACATCGTCACGATGAGCGCGCGAGGATATAGGCGCAGCAGCCACCATCCAGCCACTCTTCTCTCTCTATCATTATCGTATACAGCCGCGCGGCGTCGAATACTCGCAAGTACATTATATCCGATGGAATGCGCGCGCGTAGCTATTCGCGTACTCATAGGATATGTAATGTACGATTTTGACGTTCTTTTTTTTTCATCGTCATCGGCATCATCGTCATCTCGTACCTTGATGCGATGCGCCTCTACGCAGCAAGTATGCCGCTGCTCTATAATACGAGCCGCGGCGCATCGGCGCATCGCAGAGCGCGAGTCTCATAAAAGTGGGTCAACGTGTCAACGTCTGCATATACATATAGGTGCACGCACGCCGATCAGTCCGCAAAGGAGAGAATTATGGTATTATTACGCGTCTCGATGAGTTATCATGAGGAGATGATGCGCATACCGATCGAAGGGAGAGCTCCGCGCGACGACGACGATCGGAGTCGCTTTCGAGGAAGCAAACGAACGTACAAACGTAAACATACCGGAGAGAGTGAGCGAGTAGGAAGAAGAGGGTAAAAAAATTTTTTGGCGAGGATGATAACGATAAATTTTCGCGAACGCCGATGTAACCGCACGAAGACAGCTATTACTCTCTCACGCGCGAAATTTTCTGCACCGCGCCGAGTGCACTTTCTCCTCTTTACGTATGCTACATATGCAGGTATTAGGCCCAGCACTCGCGTTCGTACATGTATACATATCTGCGCCCGCGGTCAACATCCTCTGCACAAGTTTTGAATGCGTGTGTGTCTGTGTGTTCGGGAGAGGGAGAATTGCATCAGCGCAGCACCTACGTTCACAATAATACACGAATGAGCTGCTTATACATTATATAGGTACGGGCAAGCGATTTCTTTTTTTTCTCACGCTTCTTTTTTTTTTGCACTGCGTGCGCAAAAGAGTATCATCATCTTCGTGCCGCGAGGAGTATCGACGCCGAGGGTATTACGGGCGCGTCCAAGAGAGAGACGGAGAGAGATAATTTTTAATGCGACTTTAAACGCGAGGTGAAAGAAAATCGGTATGTACAGTGCACGAAAAAAAATTTAAATGAGCAATGTCGAATGCCAAGGTGGTATGTAGGTTGAATTCTTTCGATATAGACGTGCAGCGGCGCAACACGTACACGTGTGTGTGTGTGTGCGCGTGTGTGCATATTACAGATAGAATTAGCATAAAATCGATGTCAGTCGTTTTTCCTTTATTCCGCAATGCCTCGCTCGTGTACACCGTTTTCATCTTCTTCTTCTTCTTCTTCGGGCGCTGTATTATATACGGGATAAGAGAGGAGCTATAGCCTCTGTGTTATTACGTTCGACGTTTTAGTCCTTGCATGGCGTATAGTCTCGCGTGGCGATAGACGTTTATCCGCGTAAACGACGCCGATGAAAAACTAGAGAGATGGAAATGATGCACCTGGCAATGAATATTTTATATTATACGCGAAACGAGCGTATAACTTTTATGGAATAATCAAAGGGTTTCGCACGCCAATTGAGTCGGATAAAAGAGTATACTACGAGCGAATGTATAACATTATTATTAGTATACTCGAGTGTACCCTATATGTATGTGATTAGCAGTCCGTTATATTTTATATGTGCGCAAAAAATGTGAATATAGATTACGTTACGCCTCGTCGGAGACAAAAAATGGGTAATTGATATTCATTACTCAGCCCATGTATCGAACGTATAGTGAATTTCAAATTACACCGGTGAAAATAATTAGATTAAAATTAATGGGAAAAGTGGAAGACATTTCATTTTTATGTAGAAGGTTTAAAACTGACACGCAGGGAAAACGTTGATGCTTTTTCAATTTTGCTACTCATACGATTATTTTCACATTGCCACTTGAAGATTTACAGATATTGAAGTACTCGCCATGTAGCGGTAGAGGTTGACTTTAATTTCTAATGATTTGTAATACATTTTTTGGCAATCAACGCAAATAATTAATCAACATTGAAACGTTTATTTTCAATCGAAATGTTGAAGTTTGAATTTTAAAAAGTATAACTTTTTCGTTCGTTATGCATTCCGATGCTTTTTTGTTTACGTAAAATTATGAATTAACCCTAAAGCGTACGTGCACGAATCGAACTCGAGTATATCGTATACCATGATGGCGGCAGCAGAAAATTCATAACGATCTTCTAACGATCTACTAACGATCTCGGAACCGATTTTTAGAGCGATTATTACAATACTGCAACGAAAAATTGCAATTACTACGCCAGGTGCAAACGGTCTCGTCTTCGATCTTTATATGCATATACAATACATAAATATGACGTCCACACTGCATACATACGACGATGCCTAGCACATCTATATATATGAAACGGTTGAGCAATTCTCGCTTGATTGAAAATAAGGTCACTGTACACTGCTCGTTGCGTCTGTATAAATGCTTATATTTTTTCCTCGTCTCTGAGACTCTGTTCACATTTATACAGCTTCATATAATGGCGCGCGCTCGCGAGTACATATATAGCGATATATGAAAAAGAAAAAAAAACTAATCTTGTGAAATAATAAAAGAAGGCAATAATTATATTGAGATTCATCGAACGGCAGATTATAAGCGCCGAGCTCTCCTAATGGCTCGAAGGTGTGTATATTCTCCGCTACACATGGGCTTTTAATGCGTCTCTCTCTCTCGTCTCTGTGCATGCATGTGTATATGTGTGTGTGCTCGCTCTTATCTGCCTCGAAGCGTTTAACACCGAAGCAGCAGCAGCAGCAGCAGCAATACTAGTACCAGTACTAGTAGTAGATACCTGCCATGTGCAGCGGCATGTGTAGCTACATACATACATGCCAGTTTCAATGCTATATTATAATTTATATCATATACACACACCGAGAGGCTGATGCTGCTGCCGCCGCTAGGTTGATGCCTCCCCGTATCTCGCGCATCGATCTCTCTCTCTCTTCTCTCTTCTCTCTCTCTCGCACCCAACGAACGTATTTGCACACTATTACCGCTGCAATACTCCACGAGGTTTTATTATTACACGATTGTCACTATCGATATGCATTGCGCTGTGCGCGCGAGTCTCTCATCAAGAGCTATATATGTATAGACGCGGATAAGATAGGTAATGGTTGAAAAAAAAAGGAATTATTTATTTTAATCGATGCCGAGAGATGATTACTGCGCAGAGAGAGAGACTTCATCTTCGTCGTCGTCGTCCTTTTAGTTTTAACCGTAAACATCGGTATGCAATCATAATTACGAAGAAAGTAGGATTCCCCGTGTACACACGTATAATTTGCCATCTCGTATCTTGTATATAACAAGTATATCACAGCCGAAAACGTATACAACAAACTAGATACTACTATATTTTTCAATTCTTTTTTTTTTGTGTGTTGCCTCCAACGACAGGTAGTACCAACGTCAGCCGTCCAAATGTCACGAGTATGTGTAGTGTGCGCGCACACGCCTGACAATGTAATTTCTCACGATATATCCGGTACACCGTACGCACCGATCTTTTTTTTTTTTTTTTACATGTATTCCTCCGATTCATTCCGTTATAGTTCGTTAATTATAATCCATATCTCGGGTGCAGCGTGACGTTTACATTTTATATGCGTACGCACGACAGAGAGATGGAAAAAAATCGCGTAATTTCTTTCGATTCGGAATATGATACCGATTTTTTTCCTGCTGTTGTTGTTGTTGTTGTTGTTGTTGTTGTCGTTTTCGTCGGAGATCGATTCCGGCACGGTCCGTTATTAAAGATATATCCAGACAGTTGCGCAGCACATTTTGCGAGAGAATAGTGGCATTTTCTCTCGCCGGCCTATAGGTAATAATAGCCATGCTCTGGTTGCAAGAAAAATTTCTGCGGCTTTATACAATTTTCGACTCACCGCCGCTGCCGCCGCCGTGGCGAGATGACACTTTAAGGTCAACCATTGAAATTCGCGAGCGTCATTGTGTGATATTAGCATTGCCGATTTTCAGACCAGCTCCAGGTTGAGCGGAAAAAAGTCATGATATAAAGTAGCTGCTGCTGCTGCTCCATACACATGCATATCCTCTCTCGCGTTTATTATCTTATTTTACGGATAAATTAGACTCTCTCGCTCTAGTCTGTGTGTGTGTGTGTGTGCATTATAGAAAGTCATCGGGGCATGAATAAGCTTTTGTAGAGCTGCCTCGCGCTAGTACATAGTATAGCCTTTATCCAAGAGCTCTCAGTGTCTTGGCTCTCCACTGGTGGCTGCAGCACATGTGTGTGCAGGAGAGGATTTTTCGACCCACTTGGCGGGCGTGACTCACACACATACACTAGAGTATATAGTATAGAGGTACAATATGAACACCGAACGGCGAACTCGCCCGAAAAGCCTCTTCACTTTTCAATGCTCAGGCGCAGCGCGCACACATAGGAGGAAAGAGAGAAAGAGACGCGAAAGAGGTTTCTAGACCATCAGGACGTTCACTGCACCGCGCGAGCCTAAGCCGAGCATTAGCTTTGGCTGTATACGGCGCTCCGCGAGCGCGCGCACATGCACATCGGTATGCTATTATACGCGTATGCTGTGCGAATATTTACGCGATTGTTGCTACTCGCCTATTTTTTTTTCTTCCTGAACTTTTTTCGTTGGTTGGTTTTTCGTCGATCGACTCTCGAGCGAAAGACATTTATGGTATAAAAGCGAGAGTCGCGCCGCGGACCTCCTATATCATTGTATATATATCTCGCGAACGAAACGAATTAATTCTCGTTCGCTCGCTAGCTAGCTCGTTGTTATAATAACCTTGCCTCTATATAAACTTTTTTTTGTACGCCGCGCAGGACGAATCAGCGCGCTATCTTCTAGGTCAATGGGATTCATTTTCACCTCGCGGGGCATATATACTATAAATAAAAAAATACTCGAGTCTTACTCAGCGCACGTAGACCAACGCATTGTTGCCGATCATTCCTTCGGTGTGACTTATAAAAAGTAATAATGCAAAATATTTTTCCTTGGCGTTGCAATATTGTACGTACATCATGGATGTATCGACGTACATTATAAGCCTAGAGCTGCCGATCGCAGCTACGTGTGTAAGCGTGAGAAAAACTCCGGAGTAGTATATATAGAGTCGACGACACACTATACGTAACTCATAGATCCCCGTGTGTAGTGCGAGTCGCGCGTGCAGCAGCTCGGCCTAATCTAACAGTAATACACATACACACTGTGTCTTTAGTTACAAGGGTTCGGATCGCAGGGACTCGTCAGTTAGGAGACACGTTTCGTAGATACACAGATACGCGTATCCTCCGTATGCGACACGCGTGAGGTGCAAGAGTGCGAATCTTTGATTCTATAAATATATATATATATATATAATTGTCGTGGGAATGGGTGACACTACTTATAAAATAATTATAACGCCACGGCGGATTATACCCGATTGTGGAGCCTCATATATTGGGCCAAGCACGATGCTCTCTCGCGAGAGGAGGAAGAGTAATTGACGACGCGCCTGCTCCTCTTCGCGGCTGTTGCTGCAATTACGTGCTCTGATACGCCCGCGCGCAGTGCACTACACAGCGTGTTTTCCTCGCTCGATCATTGCTATTAAATATTTCGCTTGTTTGTTTTTCCTTCTTAGCTATACAGTATAAATATATATATATATGTTTCCGACGCGACGTAATGACACCTCCTTAGATATCATCACGCGGCGACTGCGACCCGCATTATAGAGAGCTAAGAGACTCCATCCTTCTGGCTCTCTTCTTCGCGTCGTCGCAATAATAATCGTGCCGCTACGACGACTACTTATATATACCTAGTGCTACTACTACTACTACTACTAACTCCATTACTCGCGTTTGCAGCGCTATATAGGCTCTCGCACGCGGCATTACGAGGTGTTGATTTGAGCGATGGCAATTTACGAATGAATTATTGACCGTAAATTCCGTATATTTATCCAGGTACATGAGACATAAACCAGAGAAAGAAGAAGAAGATTTCCCGCGTATACGTCCAAACCGATTTCTCATAAATCCATCTTCCATGCGCGCGCTGGACGTGCCACGATTTCTAGGCAAATGTCACGCACGTAAGCTAACCGGCCAACCGGCCCAAGCGAGAGATCGATCAAAAAGGAAGGAAAATATATCCGTCGAGTCTATACGTAAGATGCTCGCTGCCTCGTGGAGGAATCTTCGCTCGAGTCGAAGAATTTCGTGTTTTTTAGGCGCGTGATTTCTTGCGTCGCGGTACAGAACGAGAGATAGAGAGCCTATATAGCATTACAATCGGCGCATATAAAACGTCGCGTTTATTATATACGTGCGAAATAGTACCGTAAGACGTGAAAAAGGTAAGATGGATAGAGAGAAGAAAAAATGACTCCATCACGCACCGATGATTTTCCCATGCCCCCCCGCGCGGGACGGGACGGCGTAATATAGCGACGGTGTCGTGAAGTAGTAGTTAATGAAAAGTCATGCTCGTTATACTCGAGACACTTTGCAAATAAGTTGCCAAGAAAAGATATAAACATATTATAATAAGTCGTTGGGATAATCGAGTCGAGAATTTCGGAGGAAGAATCTTCGTCTTGTTTTGTTTTTTTTTTTCTCAAACCCATATCGCAACAATAATCGTCACTCGTCAAAGACGAAGGTTTAGAGAGAGAGAGAGAGAGAGAGAGAGAGAAAAAGAAGGTATCCAAGTGTAACTACACTCGGGTCGAGCTCGCAGCACTTTAAAATGGCAGCGCGAGCATGCGGTCGGTCAGACAGCAGCCGAGTTTTAATTTTAAACAGAGCGCAACGCAAAACGACCATTCGAGTAGTTCCCATCGCGCACGGGGTCCGTTATAAATAAATCCTCCGCATATTGTACCCAATACGAGTGTATACATGTCTCGTCGTTTCGTTTTCTC